ACAGACACACTGGACACTACAGTACATTAACACTGCACTGAGAGAGAGAGGGGTTAATACAGACACACCGAACACTATAGTACATTAACACTGCACTGAGAGAGAGGGGTTAATACAGACACACTGCACTGAGAGAGAGGGGTTAATACAGACACACTGGGCACTACAGCACATTAACACTGCACTGAGAGAGGGGTTAATACAGACACACTGAACACTATAGTGCATTAACACTGCACTGAGAGTTCTACAGTATACAGTACATTACTATAAAGAAACAGAGCAAATGAGAGGTAAAGATGTAATGCTGATATTCACCCTGTTTGTCTAGCTCTGTGCCCCCATTACAGAGGGAAAAACATGAATTGTCTGCCAAAACATTCATGTCTATAAAGTGGTTACCTTTTCCTGAAGCATCGCAGGACTGTGGTGGCCTGATAGGTCACATGGTTTGGCCATCTTGTTGGATTTCTCAAAAACTAGGTGAATATTCAGGAGTGTTACATCTAAGCCAACAACAATCAACAACTGCCAGCAGAGGACTTAAACGAAGGATTTCCACACATAGAGGACAGAAGAGTATGAAAGTGGGAATGAGGAGAGAGAGAGGTGCTGAGAGCAATGAGTGTGTACGTGCGATGGTGTTGTCCTTGTGGTTCAAGTTGAAAAGTCTCTCCAGCTCCTGGAAGCTCCCCCAGGACTCAGCTCTCTCTGCAAATCCCCTCAGGTAGTGAAGATTTGTACTTGGACTGGAGGGAGACAGAGGGGTTAATACAGACATACTTACTGGACACTAAAATCCATAAACACTACACTGAGAGAGAGGGGTTAATACAGACACACTGACTGGACACTATAGTACATTAACACTGCGCTGAGTGAGAGGGGTTAATACAGACACACTGGACAGTACAGTCCATTAACACTGCACTGAGAGAGAAAGGGGTTAATACATACACACTGAACACTATAGTACATTGACACTGCACTGAGAGTTCTACAGTATACAGTACATTACTATAAAGAAACAGAGCAAACGAGAGGTAAAGATGTAATGCTGATATTCACCCTGTTTGACTAGCTCTGAGAGAGAGAGAGAAAGTACAGATACATTGACCTGAATTTGGAACAGAGATTATAGTTACTGCCAAAATGATGTTATTTAGTTACACCTATTTTCTTCTAATAACACACAAAGAGAATGGCCTTTTCATCAGGAAGCTGAGGAGCTTGATGCCGTGATAAGTATTTTGCATAAACAAATGAAGTGAGCAGGCAGTTTAACAATTGTTATATGATCCACTGTGTTTTATTTTTAAAATACATACAGCTCTTTCATGCTGGGTGAGTGAAGACCAGAATAAGCATTCTTCTACACAAAGTCCATTCTCCTACAGAATTTCTGAAACAGCAAACAGTGCTGGACTTGGGAGGCCTGAATATTCACCTTTTGCAGAAGCCGTTTGAAATCTCTCCAGGTTTATACCAGGGTCAGGGGAACAGTTGATAACGGTCAAGGGTCAAGTAGAAAAAATCCTGCTCTAAATGTTCTTCCAGTTCCTCTAGAAACATTTGCGTTATATGAGGTGTTGAGACATGCTGTCCCCAGAAGGCTGTCGGTAGCAGATGTACACTCATATTCCAGAAGAGCTCAGAATCACTCCATTAAACACACCATTGCAGCATCATTGTGTTCCACATCCTTAGAAATTGGTACAGTAAGCTTGGCCCATGACCCCACAGGACCGGGGTTCTCCAAGCTTGACTGGCCGACCTCCTAGACCAGCCTGGATCAGGTGGAGCTCAGTTAGATCAAGCTGTAACTCGAGGACACTGGGGTCACCAGTAACAGCACAGCTCTGGAACCTGGCCTCCCAAAGACTTAGCATAACTGTTCATTGAGACCCAGAATTTGAGCCCTTGTTGTAGCCTTCTTCAGTAGCTCTGACAGTGGATAACAGTGCTAATAACGTGCACGACAGCTTCACAGCACCAAATCAGAGAGCTCTGGACCTCCAGGCTCAAACACAGGTAATTTCAATGCCTTTCAGAAGTGTGGGGGATTGGAGCGCGTGGTTCCATTCTCTACAGCATCCGTGATGCCGGTAGTGGATGGTAAGTTTCAGGCAGACAGAATGACAAAGAGACACGCACGTGAGTCGGTCATTACCTTTGACGAGTGTATCTCAGATTGGGTACCAGTGCCTCCAGACTGGTCATGTCGATGCAGCGAGGTACACCCTCATGAAGAGTGCGCCACCTATGGGACACAGACACACATTACACACAGCTTACACACAGAGGGACAGAGAGGGAGTGAGAAACCCAGGCACAGGGAAACAAATGGAGACAGAAGTAACCTTTGCAGAGGAGCAGAGATAAACTGGATCACCACTTACAAACACCAAAAAGCCAAATACATGAAGAAACACAAATACGTGCAGTCTACAAGACCAGACAGAAGAAATAAAGACAAGAACATCATCAGTATGCAGACAGACTGTATACTGATGCAGAAATGGGGAGAGAGACTTGGACAGACAGGTTTGAAAGAGCCAGAGAGACAGGGTACCTGTATATCTTCTGCTTGGCTTGAAGCTCCCTGGCCCTGTGGTCTCTCAGTATCGGCAGTGTCTCTGAGCTCAGTGTGCTCACTGAGAAAACCACAGGCAAGTGCAGAAATACAGAGAGAGAGAGGGGACATAAGACTCCACTGACAAGCTGGGAGGTTAACTGGCTTCTGGGAAAACTGGCCCAAGTGTGAGTGTGTAATCTATGTCTGCCCTGTGATGGACTGGTGTCCCATCCAGTGTGTACCCCTCCTTGCCCCCATTGCTTGCTGGTATACTCTGTTTCCCCCATAACTCAGACCTGGATGAAGCGGTTCGAGAATGGATGGATGGAGTTTGCCAAATGAGGCAATCAGAAAACTCAAATTGCAAAACTGTAATTAAAATGAAGAGTTATCCACAGGCAGCCTTAAGTTTACAGTGGGTCAGCTGTCCTTCACAGCACTTCAGAGTGAGCAGACACTGCCACTGTTAGTTCACACCTACCACCCAGCTCTCAACAGCAGCTGCAGAGAGATGCTGAGTTCCGCGACACAGGGGGCGTGCAAGATCCCTAGACGAAAAGCCTGAAAGATTCTCGCCAACTCGCAGTCTGCTGTATGGAAAGAGCCCCTTTAATGTCCCACGGCCACTCAACCACTCCACCAATGCAGACAATTTGTGAAGAAACCATGATTAGGCAGGTGGAAAAAATCATATCAGATCCTTTTCGTAATCTTAATTCTGAATATCTACGTCTTCCCTCTCCCAAATGTAGATACAAATATTCATTTGTAAAGCAATCAATACAAATAAATGGCAGGGGTAAATGCCATTGTGCCAGTATAAACCAATTATCCTGTAACAAACTAGGTGAGTTCAACATGTCATGACTACGTTGTAACGAGTTAATCATGTAGAATAGATTTGATGTGTAATGCTGCGTGCTGTATTCAGATGTACAGAAGGACTGTGTAGGCATAAACACTTTCCCCAAATAAATGTATGAAAGGGATGATGAATTTCTAAATAAATAAAGGTGATCTTATCTTATATTCCCCTATAATTGTGGGACAATGCCCTATTTTTCACCAAAGTAACCACAGGATTTTACTGACTGGACAGCTCTGGATGTCCTACTGGCTACCGGTCTTGAACCATTACAGATCAAGAACTCCTCTCTGCACCCCTCTGACCTTAGGGTTGGAGGATTGGGGACACAGAAACGCTTCCTTTGCTTTTTAATACTAGTAATTAATTATCGTAATTAAGCAGTCAGATGGCATATGTTGGTCCAGTATTCCTGGAACCATTCTCTTGTGAGCAGGGAAAACCCACCTAGCTCACTGCACAGCTCAATGGCGCCATCTGTCGATTGGATCCACTTATTGCAGGGGAAGCAACACTTCTCTCCACTTGGTGTCTCCACACAGACCTCCTGGCAGTGCCAGTCCAGGTCCGGGAAGTTAGGAACTCTCTGTTTCCTCAGCTGGATTAGCACCACAGTGCCCAGTAGGATCTCTGTCTTCAGTATACAGGCACACGTCTGTTGTGGGACAACATACAACCAATCAGGACATTGCACTGCACTCTGCCTTCTGAACTGATGGTCATGTACAATCATGTATGGAAGGGATGAAAGTCTATACAGTAGATTCTCAACAGGGTCTTGAATAGCTAAATTTGCATCTAACCAAGTCCACCCCTATTCTGTCAGATACTGTACTACAGCACGGAGAATGGATTTATGATTAAAACACATGAGGAACCCTCCCTTATATGATAATTACATTACTAATGCATTAGCTTTAAGTTCATTAAAAAACATTGATCAACTTAAAGAAACAACAATTTACAAACTTACACTGTCCAGCAGATTCCTACACTTTCTATCTCTGCTTCATGATCATCACACTCCACTGTGATGAAACGGGCAATAAAACTGTAAGCTCCTCTCCAGCCTGTGATTCCCCACACTGCTGACAGAACCTGGGGCGTTCGTTACACTATGAACACAAGACCTCACTGAGATGCTGATGCTGGGTAGGGGGGACCTGGGCAGGTGGCAGAGAGAGGCTCACTCACTAGAGTTGTCTCACCATCCTAGTCTGTTGTGCTGCTAATTTGACAGTGGCGGTTAATAACCTTCAGCTCGGTTTCATCCCGGATTGGTCCCGAATGCAGAACACACAAAAAAAAGGAATACTAGAAAATGTAAGTGCATGCAAAATCATTATACACACAAAAAAAAGATAAATGAAGCACACACAAAATCAAAGCACACTAGAAAAACACAAGTATTTAAGGAATTGTATCACCATTCATCTGGCAACTGTTAAGCGATATAGGAAGGAGTAATGATGATGACAAGGCTGATGGTGACAAACCTGTGGTAATTATACCTGTAAATCACAGGCTTAAACATGCCTTAGTCTTTCATTCAATGCAATGGAATCATGTTTGCATAAGAATTGAAAAGGAGGAAACCTATATATTTTAGCTAAGTAAAAGCTCTCAAAGGATCATGAAAAACATAAGATACTTTTAACCCTTCCAAAAGTAAATGATTGAGGATGAGTGATGTGATTACAACCCAGAGGTGTTGGGAAGAATTATGACACAATTCTGTAAGTACTTGTCTTCTTTCTAGAGTGTGTTCCTTTTTCCAGTGTGCTTTGATTTCGTGCATGCTCGATTTTTCTCGTGTGCATACTTTTCTGTGTGCACATTGCTTTTAAGAGCATGTCCTTTTTCTTGTGCAAGCACTGTTCTTTTCTGGTGTGCGTGGTCGATCTTTCATGTGCGCACAGGTTTTTGTGTGTGGCTACTATTCCTTCTCGTGTGTGCCTTCCTTTCCTCAGTGCTCCAGGGTCATCTTATCATTGCATTCTGCACTTCGTCTGTACAAGACACTGTCGGCCAGACCGATATGCGCTGCTAAAAGTTTCCCTTTTCTGGGGGGATTCTGACATAGAGGCATTCAGGCATAATCCCACATATGGTGGCTTTGCATCAATGGCTCTTATGTGCATTGATGTTAGATTCCTGCACAATCATATATATATACACAACTTATTCAAGACTGGTAGTGATAACACAATAATTTGGGAGGGTAGTGGCTGTGAATACAATCTCAGTGCCCTAGAGAGCAGGAAATGCCAGCCTGTGGTTTCCTGAGCCTGTCCTGTCATACTCACCGAGCCAGGAGTGAGGGGGGAGTCCCCAGAGCCAAGGATGACCTCTGGACTGACGCCCTCTGTGCCGATCAAGGTGACCCCAACAGAGCTGAACGACCCCGCCTGGGGGGCGGTTGAGGTTGTCACAGAAACCAAATACTCCACCATGATTGGCTAAATTCCAGGGAGGAGCCTACAGGACCAATCAAAAAGACATCAGGTAGAGGCTTTAACAGGTAATTAAATTGTAATGGGCTGCAAAGAAATGGTGAAAATGAGTAGCAGGATAATTGGGTCAAATCAAATTAATTCACATTTCCTCTATAAAACAAAGGTTTGTGTAGTGTTATGGAATGTGTCTCAGCCCCTCCATTGTGAATTTACACTACTACCGTCTTGGAGACGTCTCTGTGTCCCCAGTCATAAAAGTAAAAAACTCTTTCATCCATACTGTAATATTGCTCTCAGACAACATAAAGTAAGTCTCTTATTTCCTGCAACATTGTTGTGCTGTCTTCTCTGTTGGCAGTATTGGTCTTCCTTGTTGTATTGTTGTACTGGACTGCCGTAAAACAATTTCCCCCCAGAACACAATAAAGGTTTAATTTAATTGAAGACTTTTGTAAAATCCTCCCACAAGAGTCTCCTGTCCCTTCCTCCAGTCTTCTAATACAGCCCAGGTCTCTGTCTCTGTGGGGAACTGGCTTAAGTATTCCAGAGCAGTGCTTCTCATGATATTCCTGCATAACACTGGTGTTCTGCCAGATAGTCTGAGAAAAAAGACATTCCATGCATTCAATTAATTGACAAATTGCCTTCTTTGAGCAGAAGGATCTTCACAGCTCTCGTAATGCAGATTCAGAATTCAGCATCCAATCAACGGCCCTGTGGACAGAGTAGTTCTCTTTTACAGTGTTCATTTCCAGTCCGACTGTGGCTGGTTTTTGCGTATGTATGCGTTTGTGATTTATACGGTGAGATTCACCAAGAGCAATACACAAGAAAGATAAAGCCCTCACAGAGGCGCAGAGTGACGTGATGGAAGAAGAAGTGAAGGCAGGGAATGGAACAAAATCCAGACCCCTAAATACTGGACTATGACTTGTCAAGATGTGGGACGTCCCAAAACCAGAATGAACAGCGAAATCCAGATTGGGTCGCCCCAGGGAGAGGTGAAACCGGTGGATCCCTCTTCAAACACGACAGAAACTGTGCCATCAGCCGTGAAATAGAGGGCCAACGTCTGGTAGTCAGGGTCCCCCCCTGAGACAATGGAGTCTTTGTCCTGCTGCAAGTACAGTTTACTGTTGCAAATGAGGCTGCAAAGTGAGAATGAGCCAATCTGTATAGCATGTCAGCACATGGGGGAAGTCAAACACTGTGGTGGACTGCAGAGTGCAAATCCAGCCCAGAAGCTTGCACACACACACGTGCATGAGCAAAAGACTTTCACACATTCACATTCAAAATCTGTTTGTTATCAGAAAGGTGATAAGATGGCAATGATGGTGACAGACCAGAGCCCTTTCCAGAAGCACATCGGACAAGACAGGATTATATACCATGGGCAAGCACACCAGTCCATTCTGGGGCACACACAGGGACAATCTGCAGACTATAATTAGCCTAGATGGAACACCAGAGAAAACCCACTTAGACTAGGAGATAACATGGAAACTCCGGGCACCCCAGGCCAGAACTGAACCTAAGACAGCGAGACAGTGGCAGCACCCCATTGTAAAATCTCTCATCCTAGCGTTAATCCCACATCAGCAGGATCTGCTTGTCGGCACGTCCATCTCCATTTTGTGGTTTGAACCAAATCTTTGAGCTGATGTTGACATTAAATGCGACCGAGAATACTCCAACCGGCGCATCGCTCCGCCTACCGTCGGAGGGGGGAGGAGAACAAAGTAATGTAGCCAATTCATAGAGGGGGATTGCACCCATTGTAAAATAATGCTTTTAATAACATGACTGGATAGCTTGTTCCATACACCCACCACCCTTTGTGGAAAGACGTGCCCTCCTGTTCTTTGTTTTAAGTACACTTCCACATGCACACCACGTGGGTCCTGTGGCTCATGTGTCACTCGAGGCGATGAGAAATGTGAGCTCTGGGAGGCTTGCAATGCTGAAAAGGGGCCAGTTTGGACGAGGTACAGTAGCCTGTTCAACGCTCCCACGACTCTTTGTGTAAAGAAGTGCCTCCTGCCCCGATTGCAGGATCTCATCCAGAGGATCCTTGAAAGAAGCCAGCGTATCGTCTTCAACAGCATGGCTGGGTGGCGTGTTCCACACACCCAGAGCCAAACGAGATGTGGAGAGAAGGAGGAGAAGGGCAGGGAGACAGAAAGGTGGCTACAGTTTTAACTGCCTGTGCACTTGGAGCTCAGGCAGCTGGGATCATAACAACCCATACGACTAGGACGTTGACAGATTTCCATTGCAAATATGGGGACAGGTATATCTCCTCTATTATGTAAATCAGTCCAGGTCTCGCTTGCCTCATCAGCACGGGAGTCTTTGGGGCACACTGGAGCAGTGCTAGGCAGGCAGGGACTCACCGTGAACCCCTCTAGCAAATCTGACACCGCCTTTCCAAACTGCCATATTGACACCATCACACTTACAGCTACTGTTGCTCTTTCAGGCCGTATCCCAATGCAGACATTTACGGGCGCCCTTCTCTGAAGTCGGAGTCGGAGCGACTCCGCTGAAGGGAATTACCCCCCAATTCCTTGCGGGATGGTGACGTCCCACTTTCTAACCTATCAAAGCGGAGAGACATTGCCATGGAGAATACAATATTCACGTGTTAGGAAAAATGAACCTTTTTACAGTTTTAAAATGTATAATATTGTATGTAAATAAATGTCATTGGCTACTTTAGATTCATACTGTATGTATTCCAGGTACGACGTTTTGACATAAAGCTTTTATTTCGTCACTCCATTTCGACAGATGAATATTCTTTTACCTGCGGTGTGTTTTGGACACGGAATATTTAATAGTACACGCATTTAATAGTGCAAAGCTTTGAGCTGTTGCTAAGTTTACCTTATATAGTTTACTTTGAATGAACGTGAAAGAGCCCGTTATCCTCCCCAAATGATAAAAGTGTCATTTTGTACTGGGACAGACAACATGAAATGGATTCAGTAGTACTTTGAATCAACAGCGCTATTGTCAAGTTTTCTTTGCCGGTTTTGCGCCGAGCCTGCTCAACACAAATGAACACGATGTGTCACTACTTTTCTGCAGGGTCAGACGAGGTGACATTCAGTTTCATCACACTGCCAGCGGAGAATGAAACATTCTTTTTAAAATGATCTGCCGACGTACAAGCAGCCACCGAAGAAAAAGCATCAGCAACAAAAAAGCATTTTGACCCAAAGACTTGGAACCTGATTCCACTTTTAGGGGAGGGGTGAATGGCTCACATGGATTTTTTCACGTTGCTCGAGAGACTGTTTTTGAAACGGTTTCGGATTTCGTCTTCTTCCTTGCTTTAGCATTTATGATAGTCCGTTGCCGAACAACAACATTCTCTCTTCTCTCTCGTCCAATACTCTTCGCTCTCTCCCAATATGTCTTCTGGTTCCGCTGCCATAAATGACCGTAAATGAATGAACCAGAAAGACCACAAATTCACAACAGTTTATAATACAGTACATAGCCGCTTTGCATCACTCGGCTGTGCTGGACTGTCTGTGCGCTGCAACTGCAAATACTTGTGACGAGATTTTAATCTTCGCATGTAAGGGAGGGAAATTACAGCTCTTCGCCCGCCGTGAGTGGTTAATCAAGTACAGAAATCAGTTGTGAAAGCGATCTCAGACAGCTCCTCTCAGAAACCGAGTCAACGCTGAATGCAGGTCACCAGCAGTGAGCGTGCCAAAGCTTCCTGGGGCTTCGTCTGCGGCCAGCTTCAGCCTTATCAATTCATGCTTCTGAAGGTCATCGGCGTCACCATCGCCAGTAAATGCCGCCGCCGTGCAGAAGCGATTCCAGCTCTTCGCTCCGGGTTCGCGAGCTGTCGATCCGTGCGCCAGCCTCATCTCAGAACCGACCACCCTCTGCGCGGAGGTGCTCTGCTTGCCCCGGCCTCGCGGCGAGTCTCCCCACCCGTGTCCGGTGCACTTTCACGGAGGGTGGAGCGCTGCAGCTCAGTACGAACCGAGTCGGCTAGCCGGCAAGGAAGATGGAGCAATGGACCGAGCGAACACGCTAGTGAAGAGCACTTGTAGCAAAACGGGCCCAGGTCACCAAAAAGTAAAACAACTGCAGCAGAAGAAAAGGGATTGCGGGGGAAAAAAGGACTGTTTTTTAACAGACGCGGTGAGCGGGAAACGGCCATGAAGAAAGACGGAGACGGGCCTGTCTTACAGAGCTGCTTTTTCTGGGTGTTAGTGCTCCTTTTACCTAGATTCCTTTCCACATGGTATTCCTTGCGACACGCTTCCTATAAAACCAGCCACTCGCCCGTCCATTTTCTAACCGTTTCATCCAATTACAAGCGTAAGGCAGGATTAATCCTGGAGAGGACACCAGTCCATCTCAGGGCAGACAGACACAGACACAAACATGCGCACACCCACTCCAGGCACACTCCATTGGCTTTTCCCAGAAGCCAATTAACTTACCAGTATGTCTTAGGACTGTGGGAGGAAACCCACGCAAACACGGACTCCACGCAGATGGCCCCCCAGCAACTGAACCAACACAGCAAGACTAACCGCGGCGCCACCGTGCTGCCTGCCCGTTTCTAGTGTATATACACTATTATAAACTCTATATACTCATAAATATTTATATTTCTTTAATCCTATAGTACCAGTACTGACATGAATACACATACTACCCCCCAAAAAATAACACCGAGACAGTTCCAATACCGTATCCACTACAGCGGAACTAAGCTCAGAAATATAATACTATTCACGTATATTATAGGTGACTCTAACCATGACACAAGGTACATGTAAGCAAATATAATCTAATGAGCGGGACGGTAAACATCTGGGTTGCACAGGCAGAACCTAACGGTTTTTCTAAAACTCGCATAGCTATCGCAGCAAACACAGTACATTTCTATTAACTGGGGTCAGTTGCAGCTGCACCGTAATTCTGCACGCGCGCGGAAAGTGGCGCAGGGCGGTCTTACCAGGCTGCGCGAGGAGAGCGAGAGGCGACGCTACGACCTGACGAAGCCCAGGGCTGAATCACACAGAGACCGGAGCCGCCGGCTCTTAAGAGTCTGAGTCGTGCGTGGGTGGTTTGCTGTATTTCCTGATTGCCCTGTGGGAGCACAACAGAAAAGAAGTCTCTGGCAAAGTGTCAAAGTCTGTTTGCTTCTGTGTTTGTTTTGGCTTGCGGTGGGGTTGTAAGCGAGGTTTTGACATGGCGCATCTTGGGAACTATGTTTGACATTGACAGCGCGCGTCACATCGGCACGTTCTGTGCGTAAGTCGAAGTCTGCCATCAAGATAAGGACATTCGCCCTGCCCAGGTCTTCTAGTTGCCAGAGTATCGACTTTGCCACCATAGCTAGGCACCTTGTTCCATACTCCCACCATCCTTCGTGTAAAGGGTGCCTCCTGTACTTGGTTTTACGGCGACGAGCATCCCAAATCGCTGTTGTGCAGAGGACAGATAGAGACAACACAATTAACACAACTCGGAAAGGCCAAACACCACACTGCGTGGTGGTGTTTCATTTTGAAGTATACGAGATACCTGCAAAGCGTCATGGCAAATCCCCCTGGTCAAAAAACACAAATCTTGAATCTTGACATAAAATGAAAGGGGTTCATTAAACTAACATTTAAAGTTATTCTTGCTGCTGTTTTTCTAAATTTTATATATATATGTAAAAAGCTATATTAGATAACATTAAACCTAAGCGCGTAATGGCTAATAATTTGCAAATGTCACTCGCACTAACCCAAAACTCGAGCTGTTTTTCAGCAGAGCTGACAGCTGCTGAAGAGTCATACAAGCGATGCACTTGAGACTTAAATGTCACAGGATGGGGAAGTGGCGCGAGATATTTACATGTACATTTTTAATCTCCACAATCGAAGCTGCGGCGAGGATAAGTTTATTTCCTCGTGGTCGTAAGAAGAGAACAACAGAGACGCATTCGTTGTATTTCAGCGTTATCTCTCCGGAATGAAAGTTTCACCCGCTCAACCGTATCGGCACCCGGCCCCCTCACCGCGCGAACGTGCCAGGAGTCTCGTTTCTGGAATGGCGTGTACCGCGCAGGCGCACCACGGCCCGCTCCATCGCCTTTAGGGGCAAGTGCTGAATTAGCACCTGGGCTGTATGTTCATTCATCCGTCTTCTAGCCGCTCCTTCCAGTCCGGAGAGAGGCCAGTCCATCGCAGGACGGAGACACGGACACTCCAGAGCCACTTCGCCCAGAAGCCAATCAGCCAACAAGTATCCTGTCTGTGGACAGGGTGGAGGAAGCTGGAGCACCCAGAGGAAACCCACACAATCACGGGAGAACATGCAAACTCCATGCAGATAGCACACCAGGTCTAGAATTAACTCCAGGACCCCAGAACTGCTAACCTCCACACCTCACTTGTAGTACAATTATATAGAAAAATATGTCTACATATTTAAACAGCCAGCATACCATATCACCCTGCAACTCACATCTGCCAACCCCCTGAAGCTCAGCAGGTGTGAGCCTGGTCAGTACCTGGATGGAAGACCTCCTGGTAGACTAAGGTTGTTGCTGTGCTGGAAGAGGTTTTAGTGGGGCCAGTAGGGGGTGCAGACCCTGGGGTGTATGTGAGTCCTCATGCCCCAGTACAGTGACAGGGACACTATAGTGTAAAAAGGTGCCGTCCTTTAGATACGCTGTAAAACTGTGGTCCTGAGTCTTTGTGCTCATTAAATGTTCCAGTGTGTTTCTTAAAAAGAGGAGGGGTGTTACTCCGGTGGCCTTTACCAATCATGGCCTCCTGATATTCCCCCTCTGTGAACTGGCTTCACCTCTGTTCTCTTCCCCACTGAGAGCTGGTGTGTGGGGAGCGTACTGGCGGAGTATGGCTGCTGTTGCAGCATCATGATGGGGGCTGCACACTGGTGGTGGTGGAGGGGAGTCCCCATTACCTGTAAAGTGCTTTGAGGAAGTATGTCCTTTTTAGGCGTTAAAACGAGTAACAGGTCATTTAAATACCGTTTTTGGAACAAAGAAAACCACTAAAGTGCTGCCCCCACTTTGTGACAGGCAGCAGATCTCCCACTGCACAGCGGTGAGAAACTGCGGCGCCCGAACGAACAGCCCGGGGAGAGATTCGACCGGGACAAGACGTTTAACACCCCTACTCCTCCGTGCAGCGCTGGGATCTTTGATGGGCTCAGCGCCAGGACCCAATGTTAACATCTCGCCCGAAGGACAGCGCTTCAGCGTCATCGTCTTACCGTTTAACAGCGACGCGAAATCTGGAGAATACTTCCTGTAGGACTCCCTCGCAAATTCCCCTGAAGAGACGGGAAACTGGAGTATTCCCTTATTCCCTTACGCCTGCGAAAACCGATGCAGGAAAACTTGCTTAAGGGGAGGTCTGCAGTCCCACCGATATCCGTGAATGCCCCTGCAATATTCGCTCTCGTGAATGGACCCATTCATTTAACGTCGATAAGATGCGAGATATTGTTTTAGCGTGTGTTTGGTAGCAGGATTGCTTTATAAGAGCTCAACCTCTTAACATCTTGCGCCCATATTCAATGGATGACGCGGAACACAAAAAAGGCACCGCTGGGATTCGAACCCAGGATCTCCTGTTTACTAGACAGGCGCTTTAACCAACTAAGCCACGGCGCCCCCTCTGCTCCGTCTCCATAATCGCCACCAGAGCCCGTCCCTCCACCCTGTCGGTGGGCTCGGCGGGGGTGGCAGTGCCGGAAACCCGGTTCCGAGTGAGCACGCGCGTGTCAAGGGTGTATGGGGGTGCAGAGGGCGGTTGAATCCCCGTCAGAACCCACCTGCCAGGCTTTCCAGTCGATCTGTTTTTGGGTGTGGAAATAAAAGACGAAAAAAAAAATGCAATAATGACCGTATAGGGAATCTGTGTAAACCCTGATTCGTCCTTCCCTCTACATCCTTCTGAAATACAATATTTGAAACTATTAACTGGAAAATAGTTTGGACAACCCCTGACAGACACCGCCTTCCAAACAAGGTGAAATGAAACAACGTTTAAAACGGTTCGCAGTAAAATAAACACTTACTAGATTCAATTACCAACCCGATGGTTTATGTGTGGTCTTTCAGAGCGGAAACGAAGCTCTGACACATCCGTTTGCAGTAGCGATGCGAAAGGACCATGTATGGACTGATGTCTTGTATGTGATGTTATGTTTATTTTAAACTTAATGTTTCTTTTTTACTGTTTATAGGTAAGTCTGTGACTGTAACAGGGAAATCGAACAATGAAAAATCTTATCGTATAGGATTAGCCCGGAGGCGTGTGTCGGAGATTTAGGATTGAGCCCCGCGTCTTCACTGCTAACCAGCTGGAAGACAAGCGGGGGAAAGCGATGGGTTTGAAGGCGGGTCTCACACCCCGCTGGTGGCCGTGGTTCATTAAACAATCAGTACATTTGTGTCATTGCACACACTTTGGGTCAATCTTAAGGTCCTTTGCAATTGATGCCTCAGAGTTCAATCCAACTGGGAAAACTGGCCCTGCTGTGATTGTGTGTGTCTACGCGTCTGCCCTGCGATGGACTGGTATCCCGTCCGGGGTGTACCCTGCTGTGCGCCTGTTGCTTGCCGGGATGGGCTCAGGCTCCCCCGAGACCCTGAATTGGATTAATTTAGATTAGAAAATTGACACCTGAAGAAGGCTCCACGGCCGAAACGTTGTGTTCTCTTTCTTCTTTTTTTCAGCATGGAATAAACCTATTACTTGTTCCTTTGCAGCCTACGCATGCTGACGCAGCTTCCCACCTAGATTAGAAAATGACTGGGTGGAATTAATCAGATCAATTATGTTATCGCGAGCAGAACAGAACCCCACAGATACCGGGCCATCACACGCAACTTGTTACGCCTAAAACCAGGGACTGAGACGGAGTGGTTTGCAGACGTCTGCTCTTTCTTGTCATAAAAGAACTGTCACTGCTTGCCGGGAAAACAGCGGAAACGCGTCGATTGTATCGATCAGAGAATTCAGTGATCGGCGTTTCTTATTAGTGGGGGGTACATTTAACGTAGACGCCAGTGTATCGTGTATGATGACGGTGGCCGGAAATAAAAAAAGATTATTTTTATTTCACGAAACAATATCGTGTTTTTTTTTTTGCAGCTTTGTCGCAGACAATGGCAGTTTATTACAAGACTCTACCTGCACAACAGTTTCTCCCAGTTATGAAGAGTTTCAAACCGCGCAGTAACGCAGGGCATTACAGCGTCTGTGTAGAGATCAGCCAGACTGAGAATTACGTAGTAGGTTGCCCCAGGCACGCCAGAAAGCTGGGAGAGCTCAAATGCTCCAAATGTAGAAAGAAAATCAATTTATTTAAGTCCTAGTAGAAATAAAAACGAAAATAGAGTAAGGAAGGACTCCCAGTAAGAGGCTCGCTGCAGTTCAGCTGGCCGTCTGTAAAGTAGTGTTTCTGTGAGCATTGGTGGTTCAGTGGTAGAATTCTCGCCTGCCACGCGGGAGGCCCGGGTTCGATTCCCGGCCAATGCAACATTCCCTTTTCTTACCAAGCTACTGTATCTAGTTCTTTTTCTTTTGTTTTTGTGTCGTAATTCCCGTGGTGAAATAGCCAGGACGAGCACTCTATATTCATAACTGGAAGAAGGTGTAAGCGGACCATCTTCCGAATGCCCAAGGATTTCTGCAAGCATTGGTGGTTCAGTGGTAGAATTCTCGCCTGCCACGCGGGAGGCCCGGGTTCGATTCCCGGCCAATGCAACATCCCCTTTTCTTACCAAACATGTATCTAGTTATTATAGCAATAAAGTATTAAACTGAACTGATGCAGCTTTTTATTTCTAAAAGTAGGACGTAACCTAATATTTTCTCCATTCTTCTACATTTTATACAAGTTTTTAAACAAAAATGTGGCAGATCGCAAGTGTTCAGTCGATAGGCCGTCTCTTGCCATGTGGTTCAGCAAAAAACCCGAGAAATCAATTAAATTCATGCAGCTTTATTTGCATGTCCGGTAAATTACAGTGTTGCCAAAGCATATATAGTCATTAGATATCGAGAGACTGGGTCACTGACAGCGCTTCACATTTCACAAGTAGCCCACCCTGACATACTGTAACATGAGAGCGGTTGTGCAGTTCTTAGTCTTAGCACGCCCCCTACTGTCTTTCCGTGGTATTGTTGTGTTCTGCAGTAGGTAAACTCGG